TAGCCGGTGTATAATCTAATTATTAGCCTGGCTTCAAGGTTATGTACCGTACATTCACTGATTTGTCAAACAAAACGTGCGTTCAGTATAACGATTTTGAAAATAACGATACAGGTATTCGGCTTGCTCAGTACAATTCACTTTTTCTACACGTTTAAGTTGTGCGGTATCATGTCCAAAACTCGCTTTGATTTTAACTGAAAACTTTAAAGTGGTTAATGAATAATTTATCTAGTGATGTGCATCCTGAAGATTGTAACAAGAATATCCTTCCACTCTATATTTTCGAAACATTCAAATCTAGTTCAGTTTTCATTTGTATTAACCATTAAGTTGGTAACTTTTCTTTTAAACACCTTTACGGTCTACGGTATTTGTGAAAAATTATTAAAATAAAATTCAATGTGAGACCCGATTTACTGGGGCTATCACCAGCTAAATACAACATCATTTCCTGTCTTAACGGCTCACGTCTAAAAAAAACTCGCTTGGTTTCGTGATTTTAAAACTGTAATCCATCACATCTAATCACTAGTTCAGACGACGCGTTTGTTATGAATTTACCTGAGATCACCAGAATAAGTGCTTGATTAGCAGGACCTTGTAAAACTACTCAAAAACACATTGTAGTCATTTTTTCCCCGAAGTTCTTGGATTACTGTTCCTAACTATCACAAAATGATCGTAGTTAATAGAAAAATCTCGGTCGGTTTGATTGAAAAGAATTCATGATCGTGGTCGTTTCAGGGAATGAAAATGATAAAATAATTAGAAATTTCAGTCCAATAAAAGCTTCATTTCATGGACCACTGTAAAGGGATAAAAAATCAAAGGCGTTTTCTACCGGTGATATTGTAAACTCTATAGAGTAAACAACGTGATACACATGCAAAGACCTCAGCTTAAACCAAAGTCTAACTCGCTTCTGTCTCTCCTGCTGAGATAATCTACAGCCGAAATTGTGTTTTTTTAAGGCAGTAGCTGTTCTTTATGGATTGCTTTAAAATGTTACATTCATACATACCAAAGCCTTTTGGCTTCTTTCTGGACGGGCGATGAGATCCACTGTCGAATATTTTGTAGTCCTCTTCAATTTGTTACACGACTTGAAACCACCTCAACAACAAGGCAATTAACAAAATAGCAGGCAAACAAGGTTACTCAAAGGGCGCTCATGAATAAAACACATTACTTCTGCACTAATCTTACTAATCACTGATTGTGTGTGAAAAGCCACTAGGGTGGCACGTAGGAGAGAAATACATGGAGGTGTCAAGGTTCTAAAGATTATCGGTGGCACAACGTGTGTACATGCATGAGACAGTTTGATTACAATGTTTGAGCTCTCTTCGCTTTCAAGAAATCACATTTTAATTACAAGTGGAACGTGCTTTAGAGTGCAAAAAAGAAAAGTGTCATAAAACTCTTTTGTTTGACGAAACGTTCTTATTAGACGAACTACTTTTTTCCGGAAAATTAACGTTCATTGACAATGCATCAATCGTTTATTGAATTGAAATAAGCGCACATAGAAATAAAAGGACAATGGCTGTCTTATTAAATCTTTCATGAAAACTGAACGCGTCAGAATTTTGTGCGCAGGTATTGATTTAGGAAAATTTCGATTTGTTGACAAGCCGCCTTTTTAAGAGCGCCATCTTTACTAAGAGCGGCAACTGGGCTTCTTCAATTACGTACAGGTGAATCTTGGCTAAACCCTAATAAATAAGGTCATCAAAAATAGTCTCAGTAAAGAGAAATTATCATCGCGTGTTTGATAGCTTTTTTCTCTCTTCAAAGCCAGTAAAAACAAGAAAAAATTTCAAACTAATTATCAACTGAATGCATGTGCTGCCGAAACGACACCCGTGAGCCCTCTAACGCATCTGAATTTGAAAGGGAAACAAGGGCTTTTCTTCGCAGGGGAATTAAGCCGTCTGCTTCTTTCATAGATTGCAAGGTAATAACATCCTTCGCGTAGGTTTAATTGCTCTTGTTTCAAAGCAACGCCGATAGAACAAATTAACAAGAAGAATAGTTGCTCAAATGGGACAATGCGCATCAACTTCAAATCTCATTATCAAATTACTGGAGGCAAAACTGATGATATGCAGCCGGCATTCAACTGAAAAACCCATCAGCACGTACTGCTGACTTGCCAATTAGATTAATTAGTAAGAGATACAACTTCTAGTTCCAGGGAAAATTTTAAGAAGGCTTACATAAGGAGAAAAACAACACACGCAACTATTTTTATGTACCACACTAGCAGATGTTTTTCGATTGTAGCCTAAAAAAAACGTCTAGCGACTATTTTTAAAGATTTAAAAAGCCAAATTATGATACCCAAACCACAATATGGAGTGGTTTTTTATCATTTTTGGGAAAAGTTATTTTTAGGGCTGCTTAAACTGCGTTTACCATAGCAAATCTTTGTGGTAGTGTAAGTGGAATAGAATGATGACAGGTTTTCCCTCGGAAAGGAAAAATAGGCCATACTTTTCCACTGAAACCAAGGAAGAATTGTCTTTGGTTCTGTTCGACCTGACAAATGTAGTTGCCTCTGATTGGATCAAACTGTCGACTCTGTGGATGAAAGCAGAAAGTGTATACCTTCAAATGAAAGCTCCAGAGCAGCATTTTCTTGTGGTACTATTTGTTATGCGGCACATGGTTCCAACTTTTCAATTTGAGATCAGGCCTTATTTATTTTTGTGCTCAGCTTGGTAAAGGCGAAGCAAGACCAAAAGAGACTGTTGTATAAGAGCTGCTAAACTCTCAGGTTCTAACTTTCAAGTTTGCGCACGTATCAAGAAAAGCGGGTCCAATTCGAAAACAATAGGTATTGTTTTCTGTTGTAAAATTGGCCATATTTGGTCATTTTTGAAACGACGTAAACAATGGCTTTCACATACAAAATTCCGATGACTACCGAGGCGGCAAATTTGAAACTTCGGCGAGTGTCAAGCAGTAAACAAAATTTCCCGGGGGTGGGGAGGGTAAGGGTTACATTTGCCTCAAAGCGAACACACTTAGAGGAAGAGGGTCAAAAATACTGTCGTCACCCTATCGGTTCGGTTACACAATGGCAAAGGTTGTTTTACGTCCTCTGCCAATATTGTTCAGACTGCATTGAAAGATTTTTTTTACAAGTTTTTAAATTCAGCTTTCAAATATCGCGCTTCATTGATTTATTTGAATAACTAATAGACGCTCAGTGGGTTAGTAAGTGCAAAGCGGTAAACGCAGCCTTCAAAACTCGCGCTTCGTCGATTCATTTGAATAAATTCGCACCCGGCTACCCAGAGAAAAAATCTTTCATTTAAGACCTCTACAAAGTGCTTCATCGAAAAGTGGGGGACATATTGTCGCTTTTGATTACGCTTCGCATGGCTTCCTTGCTTCTCATAGCGTTATGAAAAAAGCATTTAAATTCTGTGCTTCAGTTGTCTGAGAAAGAGAATGAATAAAAAAGTCTCACATTCCATTCAGCCAGTGAACTAAAACGTGCCCTATTAGTGCCTTGTTTTATCCACGCGCGTGCACGTTCTAATCCTCTTCAGCGGAAAGGCGTTTTCGTCATGAAAACTTGGCTTAACTTTGGAAGGCGATCTTGGCATCACTGATTACGAGTCTTCATAGCCAATAACATCACTGCTTAACTGGCAGACGACCAATAACATCGCGACGTAATTGACCCATCAGAATAGACAGAATACCATCAACTGACGTGATACAACTCACTTTGACTCTGAAGATGACTACCGCACAGGTTGTCGAAACGTCAGTCACTGTCAACAACAACAGCCCTATTCAGGACTACGTTCGCCCGGACGATGAAACTCAACCTACTTTTGAAATTTCTCCT